GAATATCAGTAACGATATCTGAATACTGAAAGAAATAGTTAGCAGTACACCAAACCCGATCGCAAACTAACACTCGGTATGTGAATTATCAGCTATTCTGTCCATTCAGTTTATTAACAGAACAAATAAATCTCACATTGGACACGAAAATTGTAGGTTTTGTTTGGATATTTACATATCTTATTTATCTAAAAGAGAAATCATAAGCAATACTCACGTATCCTGGCTTGAAGAAGAATAACGGCCCAACGGTCTGTTAAAATTTAAAATGCGCTTCGGAACAGTGACGAGTACATGTCGTCCAGTGGTTGTCCAAACAGCCTAAGCACAACCTTCAGCAATGGCCCTGAACCGTGGTTGAATGGCAACATTGTGACAACGCAGTAACAACCTCAACGACACAACGTAGAACCAACAACCTTTTAGCCATGTTGTTACAACGTTGCTAAAAGGTTGGCTACGTTGAGGCAACGTTCTGTGTTTGTTGGGTGCATTCAGGGAAACTCTTTCTTGTATTGCTTTAATATGCAGTCTTCACTGAAACTCATTCAACGTCCTACAGGGAGAGACTAAAGACTAAAAACTTAAAAATATGACAACTAGCATCTGGTTATGATCGCTATTAAGATGTTTCTCACGTTATCTAACTGCAAATATAGCATAACTGCCTATTATCTAAAACTAAACATTAACTATAACGCGTTCCACAAAATACAACTACTGGCCAGATTTCCGAGAGGTAAACTAATGCGTTAAAATGCCAAAAACTGCTGTAATTTCCTCTACTTTCTGGCAAGTGTGCTTGAGAAGCGCTGAAATGAATGGGCTTCAGTGCTGGAACTATTGGCTGCTCCGTGACACGCTTTACTTCCGCATTCCTCAGAGTTGCGACACTTCCATAGGCTGCAATATGAACTGTTTCTCAACGGCTCTGGGTCAGTTGCCTGCTATGAACTTCCCAAATCACGTGGTGATCGCTGTCGCAACTCTCTCGCTCTCAACGGCTCTGATTTACAGGGGTTTCACATGTAAATCGAAACTAAGTTTGAGTTCGTCGTGGGATAAGACACCATTTCTCAACGCTGTAAACCAAAGCTTACAACTTCTGTCTTATTTATCGGTAAGTATGTCCTTCTCATAACTTACATCAGGCTGTCATATAAATGTCACGATATTAGTATGTTTGGTATACTTCTAGTTGAAAGGTTTTTACACTCGAGGAGTCGGGGGCAATTTATCACAAATTGTATTTATTATTCTGCGAATTCGAGTCCATTATGATTCAGGGTCATTCTATGGAAATGACAATTTTTCTGTCCCTAGCCTTAACAGAAATATTACACCTAAAAAACACTTTAGGGCTACAATTTGTTTATACTTTCAAATGAAACATGTTATTTGAACAGTTATACCTTCTTGAGCCATCAATGTGGCAATATTTGTTTTGTTTTTTTAAATTAATTATACCATGAGTATACCATGATTGACAGCATGTGGTTTGATACCTTGCAGCAGACTTTTTGTAAAATGCATTTTTCATGAAAATTGTTGAAAAAAAGATCAGTAACACCAGTGACTCCCATTTATAGATCAACTTCATTCAAAGCTATTCATCCAGTTCTTCTGCATGAAATAGCACTAAGATTTCGTGATTCTAACTTTCCTTTATCATTGTTAATCCTCCTTTGGTCAGTTATGGCTAAATTGAGTGTAGCTGAGAAGCAGCGACTTTACAGACAGTGTCTTTGTACATTTGTACACGAGTTGTTTTGGTTAAATTTTTTATTTTTAAATGCTGTTTATGTTCTTTTACTAACTGCTTTCACTAATTGCCAAATGTAACAATTTAGTCTCATCTACGTAATTATAGTTGAAGAATAAGGATCTTTGGTCTTATGTAT